ATATTTGACCGTTGTCAAGATATTTCACTAAAACTGTTAACTTCATTAGAGCACATGAATGTCTGTATGGCAATCAATTCAACAGTTGCTGAGATATTTCAGTCTGAACCAAAGTGGTGGACTGACCAACACTGCCACCCCTAGAGCACGCTAATGACAGAAGCAACCCAAACAGCTTACTTCCACTGTTGGAATAAAAATGCTATAAACCATCCATTGCCCGTAGAACTGAGAAACTGTACCATAGAATAGTTTAAATTAGAAAAAAAAAACATATTTTAGTATTAAAAAGAAACCAGGCATATAAAGCATCCTTTGTTAGTAGAATTTCAAAAAAATATATTGATACATAATTGGCATCCTAAACTAAAAAACTAAAGCCTGGTGTCTGCAATAAATGTAGTAAAAGATGTGTATTACAGGTGGAAGATGAATAAGCCTGAAGATGATGGCACAGTGTTCACTCCTTCCCTGACCTGTTAATCAAATTTCTTTTCACGCCACCGGGCAGCTAAAGCCAGCAAACAATCCTGAACACGTATGCACCATACTACATTCAAAGTAACGAAAAACAAATCTAAATCTAAATCTAAACCAAAATTATTTGATATTATTTGTGAACATAAAAGTCAGAATATGAGCTTACAGCTTTATCTTTTACTGCAAACCAAATGTACCCTTGAGTACAAATAGAGTAACCTCTACCTTGATCCTACCATTAACCATCATTAACATCTTGTTAACATTACAATGTGTTTTATGTGACATTTACAAATTATTAAATGTTAAATGCTTTCATATTGTTTCTTGCAACATACAATGTTAATGAAAAGGTTGTGAACTACTTGAATATGAAGCTTTGCAACCGCTATAATGGTCATGAGAATTAATTAAGCGGTCAAATATAGCAAATGAGATTATAATGCACTATCAGAGTTCATTAACAATGGGAAGTATCATTCTTTTAATGTGGGTTAGACCCCCTAAATCATCCTCCTTAAATTAAACAGTATATTCAAGGAAACAAGGTTTTTAAAAGAGTTCAGTGTTATTAACATTCCCTAGGGTAGGTATCAAAGTTTAATATTGTCTCACTTAAAGCCTTTCCAAGCTTTAAGAGTCTTAACCCACTCTTAAGCTTTACTACTCCCCACTATACCATCTACACACACATTCATCATCCCCATCCCCCAGCCTTATCCTAAAATTTCCTCAAAGTCTCCAAAAATAGGTCATGCTTCATGGTTTCGTTTCACGTTTGCCCTAACGTGTACAAATTAAATATATGGACTCCCCAAGAGGTAAAATCACAATTCATTATCACAATATCTCACTTCTCCTTTAGCTCTGTCACAAAGCTTTTTGCTTTGATGGTATTTTTATCAGCTGGTTTGCACACATTCTCTCACTGTCAGATGGACTGATTAAGTTTCAGATAGAAGGACTGATAGTATGTGACAGCTAAAAGTGTTGCAACTGTACAAGTTTGATAATGCTGAAATAAAGCAGAGTTGGATTTTTATCACTAAATAAACTTTCCATGGTCCACCAAAAAGAAACAACACTAAAGGCCTGAATTTACTCCCAAACAGACACCACGGCCCAGTACTTTCTGGAGTACGCCTGGAGGACGCATTCCACACATGCAGAGTACTGTCAGTCCGCAGGGTCATAACCAAGGATGATGTTTGCACAGAGCCTACACATAAACATACACCCTCTGATGACAAAAAGTACATCACGCTGACCCTAGCAGACCCCCGTAGCATGCTAACATGCTCACAATGACAATGCTGATGTTTAGCAGGTGTAACGTTTAGGATGTTTATCATCTTAGATTAACGTGTTAGCATTCTTAAATTAGCTAAATAGCAGAAAACACAATTTAGGCCAATGGGAATGTCATTAGTTTAACAATGTGTTGTTTAGGACCAAAAATCCAATCCAGAAATGAAGTTGAGTAATAGATTAATGAGTTTAAAGGTTTATCAGATGCCAAAACACACCACAACAGTTTATAATAAACACAGGGTATATATACTGGTAAATGGAGCAAAAACAGTTTCATCAGATGGGACAATCATATGTTGTAAGTTGAATTACCCTTTACATATAAAATGACATAGTGTATATCATCTTGGTTTCGTTAATAAAGAATCAATTCATTCATAAACCAAATCTGTTCTTGAGAAAAATCAGATTGAGAGTGTAAACCCAGCCCCTCGAGTGTGACTCTTTGGCCTCTTGGCTGGCTGCTGCTGTAACCGTTGCAGACTCAAAATATCGATCTGCTTTGCAATCAATCAAATGGTGAGTGCTTGTCAGGGTCAGGGGAGACACTAATATCTTGGGCAGATGTGGATTTATGGCTGCATGTGTCTTTTTTGTCCTCCCATTTTCACTGCCATTCATCTATTTTGCCACTCCTTTCCTCCCCTTTTAGCACAGCGCTATCCCACCATGTTTGCTGTTCATAGATATATAGCTGCACTCCTTTTATATAATGAGAAATAGGAATCGCTTCTTTCATTCATCTTTGTTTCTTCCTTTCATTTTTCTGCATGCTGCCCCCTTCTATGCCGTCTTTCTCCTTTTCTGTATGCCCCCTTTTTCTCGTTTTGGATCCCTGCAGTCCATTCACGCCTCCTCTTTTCCATCATCTTCCTCCCCTTCTCCTCCTTTTTTTTGGCTCGTGTGGGGAGCACCGCCGTCCTCTCCTCTCTTCATTCATTCATCCCTTCTTCCCTCGTGCTCATCTACAGTCCATCCACACACGCTCCCTCAGTCTCGTCAGAGCTGCATGGAATTATTTACTGCTTAATGGCCTACAGCAGCTCACACAAGCCCAGCGGTGCTTTGCTTTATTTATTGATTTTCATTCCTTTTGTCTTAGTGTGTTTGTGTGTGTGTGTGTATGTGAGAGGGAGAGAAAGAGAGAGAGAGAGAGAGAGAGAGAGAGAGAGAGAGAGAGAGAGTGTGTGTGTGTGTGTGTGTGTGTGTGTGTGCAAGAGAAGCACATAACATAGGATATAAAGCCCAAGGACATCCTGCACAGTCAAGCTGCTGGTGAAATGACCTGTGGATTGAAAGATTGATTGATTTGATGTTTGAAGGCTAATCGGCTGTTACTGGGTGATTCGTCTGCTGCCTCTGTGTGTGTGTTTGTGTGCATACACCACAGCAAACAACATTTACCATCTTCTATTATTGACTAGTGATCAATTGTCTCTGTGCAGTGTGAGTTAACAAATATTCTATACCGCTGGGACTTTTGCCAACATTGATTTGTTTGAATAAAAGGTGAAGAAAATCAAGCTGCATAGCATTAGATAATTAAACATTTTGCATATAGCATTGCTTTCTACTATAAATTGAAGTACTATGCATTTTTTATAATCTGGTTTATAGTGTTATTGCAGATGATGTCAAATCGATGAAATATGAAGTAAGTGTAATGTCTTTAAGTCCCAATTTGCAAATGAATTGTGCCTTTCACTTTTCTCTTTTATATTCTACTCTACATGACAAATCTGAGGAAGTGAGCACAACATCTGAACTGTTCAGGAGCAGTGTTGGGCAGTAAGGCATTACTAGCAATAATATTACTTTCCCCAGTAGCATAACTATTTACTAATGCATTCCAGCAATAATATTACAGTTACCCCATGAAAATGTAATTAGTTACAACCTTGTATGTGTATAGCTGCTCAAAGACCAGCCAGGTTTCAGCATTTTGCTACTACAAATTAGATATTAAAGCAAGCCACACCTAGCTCCCTGCATAAACAAGGCCACTAGGGCTTGAAGACACTACTACCCCCCCACACACACACACTTAAGGCCTTTTCCCTCAAAACCATGCAGTAATAAGCAGACATTTTGGTTCGTGGCCCCTTTAAACAAAGCAGGGTCTACTGTTCCAGTGACCTCTCATCACTGGTTGAGATGTAAGCAGTCCAACCAAATATTGATTTGGCCCTCTCAGAATATTTTGTCTAAATAATTTAAGGCCAAAAGAGGTCAAGTAGAGGTAATTCATAAAAATGGGAGAGAAGTCAGAAGAAATAAACATATTTAGTTTTTTTCCCACACTTTCTCTTCTTTTTTATCCCATTAACAATTTCACAAACTCTCAGATTTATCTTGTGACTGCTTGTCCTTACCACAAGGTTTCAAACTATTGGTAGATAAGATACTCTTAGAGTGACAAAGAGCACACTGTAGATACTCTTCTTGAATAAAAATGGAGGCATTTGCAGGTGCTTTAATCAAGCATCTGTTGCCATTTTGACTTAAGTAATACAATTTAGCACCTCTTCCCCTACTGCATAGATCATCAGCTGTTTAGGACATCGAGTCATTGTAACTCTTGCAACTACAATTGCATAAGATATTAAATACAAAAAGGGAGTACTGAAGGAAGGCACCTCTCATGGGAGTGCTAATCAGTATCTACACTGTAATTCTGCTCTACTGTGGGAGCTGCCCTTTATGATCTGTCAGTCTCCAGCACTCCTTTGAATACTGCTAACGCTGAAGGTCCTGCCACAGTGGCTTGAAAAAACATTCAACAGCAGGAAAAACCACCTCATCTAAAGCTATTGTTATCATGATACTGTTTGAAGTGATGCTCACAGAGCACTGCAGCACCTCAACCTCACCGCTCCCCCTGTCCTTGGCTGTGGATGAGAGCCTAGATCTCCATTTCGAGGTGTGTGTGTGTGTGTGTGTGTGTGTGTGTGTGTGTGTGTGTGTGTGTCAGAGAGAGAGGGTGGGGGTCATTTTTACCAAAATTACTCCTTACGTAACACAAGGCAATAAATAAATAAAGATGCACAGATAATAGTCCAAAAATGGATGAGATGAAAGGCAGAGGTCCCTACATGGATGGCACCAGTGTCTCTTACACAGCACCACCCCTTTGTGATGATGATGATGATGATGATGGTGATGATGATGGTGATATCACCACCCCATTGCATTTTCAGATCAATGAGAGAGAGAAAGAGAGGGAGAGGGCTGTGTATTTTCAGCCACACGCTGACAGCTGTGCAGCTACCCCACGTACGTGCTCATATCTGGAGGGACAGTGGGAGAGAGAGGGAGAGAGAGACCGACGTCCCTGGGTTGGTTTTTTTTTATTTTGCATCTTTGGCTCTGCAGACTCGTGCGTGACATATCTCGCTCTCGGATTTCCCATCAACTTTTTGTGTGTGTGTGTGTGTGTGTGTGTTTTTTTTTCTCAATTGTTGTTGCGGTTTTTATACTGTTTTCCTTGTCGCATTCCTCCGTCCTCTCCCTGGAATGAACAGTTTTCCTACCCGCATCGTTTCCATGTCAGCATGGGAACTGCCGTGTCCAAAAGGAAGAATTTAAGAAACGATGCGATATCTTCTGTGGCAGCAAAAGTTAGGTGAGTGACACCCCGAAGCTCTCCGCCTTTTGGACCCATTTTATACATCCGCAGCCTCGGGGAGACATGCCAGGTATTTTAGCCTTCAGGTGTGACCCGAGCTAAGTTAGCATGTGTGACAGTTGTGTATGTTGATGGAAAAACCACACTGCGCTATCCCGGGTACAGCTAGCCCTTCTTTGTAATGCGCAGAGAGGCTCTTTGCGCTTCTCGCACGTCTGCCCACTGTCCCGTCTGGCCCGGGGCGGGCGGCTGAGCAATTGTGCTGTGTGTTATCCTCCCCAGACTGCACCTGTACCGAGCATGAATGGAGCCTACCTATCGGGAAGGTTGCCCTATAATTCCCTGACACTCTTGTTTGATCGGGACTACATTTGCTGGGAGAGGATATTTGCCTCTGGCGCGCGTCGCAGCTTTTTACCGATGTTGTGAATGAAGCATCATTGTGTAATGAAAGTCATGCAGAGGCAAAGCGAGGGGCTGCTGTGACTCACAGTAACCCTGATACATTTCCTCAGTTTGGCATCACCTAAAATATCACCTGCTGCAAAACATAGCCAGCCATCTGATTTTCTTATGGTGGTTTAAATGAATGTCTGGACGCATCGACCCGAGCGGACGGTGCAGAGATGAAGCTGCCGCTTTCACACCCCGAGCGGGCAATTGATCCGACTGTCAATTAATCAATCTCCGCAATCGATTCGGTCGTTAGCGGTGATCACCAATCACGGTCAGTTATTGGACCAGTGACGGAGGGCAGCACTGGTAAGCGAGATGCTTAAAAAAGGCAGTGGGACTCCACTGTTTGGCCGGAGTCCAGCCCATTAAAGGCTGTTAACGACTCACTCTTAAGTGACGTTCACGGTATGGGGCTGGATTTTTTTTTTTTTTGATGGCCAGGTCTGCATCCACTTGTTATAACACCATACAGAGGAAAGTAATCTCCATCATGTGCAGGCTGTAGGTGTGAGGTTGAGCAGAAGCTGCAGTTTCACCGAAAAGCACGTGTGGCTGTGTTCATATGTCTACACATGAAGTGCAGACCGCGAGCTGCGATCTCGGGTGAGATCGGAATACAAGATTCAGCATTTCTGTGGCCTCGCGGCAGCCCGCCAACCACCCCGCCGCTGTAGTTTTAACTCAATCAATGAATGACCTTGACTCGTGCAGACTCCCAACATCCACAGATGTGGGCTGATGTGCTATTACGTCATTCTCTCAGTGTGCTGTGTGTCTTCCTTGCAGCCTGCATGAGAGCCTTCTCTGGCATGCATTGCAGTGGGGTTTCTTCTTGTGTGCCACCTTGAAAGGAAGATTAGAATGTGATGCTGGTAGGCTACACAATGGCAAAAGACTACATAGGGTGTCTTGAGCAGATATAGGCTACTGTTAGAGAGTGTGTGTGTGCCTGTGAAAGAAAGAGTATGTGAGAGAGAGTCAAGCCAACAGTCTTTTTTTTTTTCACGTTTTCAGTGGAGCTGCTGAAATACTATTACACATCCGACACCACTGGTAACTCTAGAGGATGATTCAATGCAGGCACATTTAGTTATTTATACTATATTAATCTCCATCCCTTTCTAGAACTTTCTTTTTGTGGCTGTTAGGCCAGGCAGCTAATTATTTCTTATTATATGTGTGTGTATCTTTATTTGGTTGCAACTCATGAAGAAAACAGACTGTTTATTGTTAAGTGTCGGCTATAGCAGGTCAGACAGGTTAATCTGTCCCTCTGTGTGACCATATGGCAGACTTCCATGTCGCTGGGACTTGTGTGATGGGTGAGGTTAGGTGTACACACATACACACACACTTTCCTGTGCATTCAGAGTGATGGCAGCAGGTGTGTGTGTGTGTGTCTAGAAGTCTGATGCAACATCCAAACAGAACTCCACATACAAGCTTCTTTTTTTTCCTTTTTTCATTAAACACACAGCCACACTCTCTTTTGGATTATTAAAAAAAACATCTACTGTTAGCTCCACATGCATAACCTTAACCTACTGTATACATAATATCAGCAATATCAGTGGCAAAGCAGGAAAATAAAAAGCATCTAACATTGACATGACAGACAAGGGTTTGCATCCTGTTTTCCGTCACCAGTCAGTTTCTTTTAACTGTGAAGACAATGTTTTTCCATCCTTAAATCCATAAATATGATCCTTCATTAACTTCAACCAAGAAGTTAGAGTTACCAAACTTAACCACCATTTTTTACATGTCCAGAATCTTTCTCCTCTTGCTCAAGTCCCTATAGGAAAGGTCAGGAAATCACCAAAGTCATTAGGATTTGTCTTCTGGGGAGCATGGATAGGTATCCCATACTTGTCAAGTATGACATTCCACTAAAAATGTCAACTTGCTGGTGGCACAAGAGGTTACGTCATGGGATCACCAAAGTCTGTAGGTTTCATCCTCTGGGAACCACTAATGTCTGTTACAAATTTGGTGGCAATCCATCCAATAGTTGTTGAGATATTTCATTCTGTACCAAAGTGGTGGACGTACACTGCAATCCCTAGAGCCACGCCGCTAGAATGACTTGAAATTACTTCTCATGTGTCTTTCTCCTACCCATGGGTGTGCCAGATAAGAAAACGCTCATAAGAATCATTTTGCTACGCACTGACAGATGACCCATTTTGTCATTGAGGTATATGAGGATTTGTAGGACACCACACAAGAGTGAATGGCCACATTCATAGGAATACGTACATACAATACATAAGACACACTAAAATAACACTGGCTTCTTGTACCTGGTGTTCGTCTGAGCCTGTGTCATCTTATGCATGTTTATACATTGCTGGTTATGAAACAGGTCACACTCTCCCCTCCAGCAGCTCATGAGAAGTAGCGAGCGACTGAGTGCGAGGGGGGGTAAAAAAGAGAGGAGAGATTACCTCCAATTTACACACCAGAAATCATGCGACATTGAATGAATAAGCAAATGCTTTGATCTTCTATCAGCCAGAGAGAAGAGCTGTGCTCTGGTTTGGCTGAGGGGCATCGGACAACAGCGTTCAGAGAGCTGTGAGGGTGTGGGAGATGGCACGAAAGATGAAAGGGTTGGGGTTTTTTTACAGACGGATGCAAATGAAATATTGTGTCTTAGTTTATTCGGGACAGTCAACGGGTGCGACCGACTCTCTCTGTTGTGGGCCTGCAGTCACTCTCTTCATGGAGTCGAGGGCTGTTACGTAATTGTTTTTTGAACAGTTATTCAGATTCACTCATGCTCAACAGAAGGAGTCAATTTTTTCATGAGAATCTGGTCATTATTTGCTAAAATCTTTCTTTATATATTATTTTAATTTTAGTAGTATGCTCAGTGCATCCACGATTGGGCAAAGCAAATCTTTTTCTATCACATCTATCTCCCACCTCATCTCTTTCCCTCCCCCTGGTTCAATCAGACAGTGTAATTCTTTGCCATAAATAGGCTGAAGGAGGCAGATTTTATTGATTACAGTCTGAAGAATGATTAGGGCTCCAGCAGTGTTATGTGATTGTTTGTCTGTGTCTATCGTGAACATTTATTCTACCTTTAATTTATTTTTTGACAAAACAATCTCGAGTTTTCTAAGTTGTCACAGAAATGTGGATGTTCAATGGCAAGGAGCAAGCTTAATTTGCTCATGAAGACCTTGTGAAACACCACGGGAGAAACTCAACTTGCTGAGGACCAGTTGATTGAATGTATTGAGTAAATACTATTAACATTATTAAAAATGTGTTAGTATGTGGCTGTGCTCACTCTTAGAGAAAGGGTGAGGAACTCAGACTTCTGGTGGGGAGCACAGAGCTTGCTCTTTGCTTCGAAAAGGAGCCAGTTGTGGTGGTTTGGGCATCTGATCAAGATTCCTCCTAGGCACCTCCCTTTGGAGGTTTTCTGGGCACGTCCAACTGATAGGAGACCCAGAGCATGCTGCAGGGATTATAGATTTTATCTGGCCCGGGAACACCTCAAGATCTCCCAGAAGGAGCTAAAAATGTTACTGGAGAGGGACGTCTGGTCTACCTTGCGTAGCCTGCTGCCACAATGATCTTGCCCCAGACAAATGGAGGAAAATGGATGAATGGAAGTTTTTTTGCAATATACCATAGGATTTTATAAGTCATTTTGACTTGTCACATGGCAGTTGGTAATGCTATTAGTAACACTTGTTGTTTTTCTACGTAAACTCAAAATGTCTCTTGTGAAAAGGCCTATTGTCAACTTTAAAAATCCATGTTAAACATAGGCTACGACAGAGAAACAGAGTGCTGTGTGTATTAGTGTATATCAGTTTACTCAGCACTGTATGTGGTTGGGGTAGTTGTGGTGAGTCACTGACATTTCAATCAGCTCCCTGGATCAGGTGCTTTGCTTCCACATGTCCCATGATGCACCACACTTTCAAGACTCCAATTAACATTCCCAAGTCCCTTTGGCCCTCAGTGCACGCAACAAGCCTCTCAGCAGGCCTCTCAACGGGTTCTCATCACCCCAGCTGTGCATTTATGTGTGTGTGTTCATGTGTGTGTGTTTGTAGGAGACCCAATTCAATTAGACCATCTGAGAGGTGGATTCGATTAAGGAGCATTAAGAGTGAGGAATCTCTTTGGTTGGCAGCCCATTGTTTACAGTGGAGAGACGCCCAGGGAGACATCAGCCCTGATGATATTTAGACCAATGGGAACACTGCCAGGGGAATGATGGCCTGTTTTCAGCCGCTTGTCCTCTAAAGATATATGGTCACAGTGTTAAAATGCACCAGAATCCACTGGGAAAAAGCATGCGATGATTGGATAGTGGTCAATAATGGAATGAAATACTCTATGTGGCAACACTATAACATGTGCTTCTCTATAAGTACCTGTATGTCAGTTCTTTAATCCGTGAGTTACTTGTGAGTCTTCAGTGTCTGCTTCAGATCGTTTGTTGGTCAAAATTACAGCTTAGATTTAAGGAGAACTAAATTGTTCTAGTTAATGATCACTGATTTCTTTTTCCT